AAAAAAAAAAAAGGGACACACACACAATCGCCAACATCTCATTGCCGCCGACAGCCCAACTTCCGCCTCCAAACCGCCACCGCAATATCCCCTGTCGGTCCTATTGTCACCAACAAATAGACCAAATTCCACCACAGCCCCGGCCGCCGCCGCCGCTCAAAGCATGTCTGACCACCTGCTTCAACAAATCATCTCCGACGACTCGAGCCCCTCCTGAACACACACGACTCTCCACCGTCGTCTTCGCCGACGTACACGCTCTCCAATAAGCCTCGCACATTCGAGTACTAGCTTTTAAACCGCTTGAGATCGCCTCACCCGAACTTATTCATCTCAGGACGACGTTTCCTCGTTTCCCCACCATCCAATATCAGCGATTGTTAAATATTTGTACGACTGAAGTAATGGCCGCGGCGGTGAAGGCAGAGCATGGCGGCGGTGACGTTGGAAAAGAGATGACGTATAAGCGGTCGTCGGGGACATGTCTCGAGGTTGTTTTTCAACGGCCTATGACAAGTCGTAGGGGAGGGGTAGGCGGCCGACGGTCGCTGGTGAAGATGACTGATCGGTTAGGGTTGTGTATAGTTGGGCTTTGATAGGTCGTATGTGGCTTAACTGCAATTTTAGAAATGTTAATAAAATTCAATTTTAAAGTGAAAAAACTTGCAATTTAGAATTCACTAGTACAATGTCCCTTGAGGGACATCCGATAAAATTGGAATCGATACAGAGAAGATTAGCATGGCCCTGCGCAAGGATGACACGCATAAATCGAGAAATAGAATTCACTAGTACAATACACGGGTGTTTGTAAAATATATTTAAATTTAAAATTTATAGTGAAATACTTGTGTATTACGTAGAAATATATTTAAATTTAAAATTTATAGTGAAATACTTGTGTATTACATAGGTGCTTGTTAAAAAATTATACATAAATTAAAAAAAAAGTAACAAACAAAGTATGTTTAATTAATTTTAAATATTTTTTTCGAAACACTGTATTATTGTTATTTATATTTAAAATGATACTATCACATATACTACTTAATAATCTTATACTATAAGATTTTTCAACTTATATTATAAAACTACTTTGTAGTTAAATTTATTTAATTGATAAATAATTTTAAAAATTTCAACTAAAATTAATAGAAAATTAATTAAAGTGTTGAAAAAAGTTGTCACGGTAGCTTGGAATTTTTAAAAATGTGTAATCAAAATGAAGAGGGGAGGAGACCCTGTTTTAAACAATTGTGGAGAAAAAAATATTTTATTCATTAATCAATTGTGAATAATGAAAGATATAATTTTATTTTTTTTTTAAGAAAACATGTATTCATTAAACTAGTACAGAGCCCGTGCGATGCATGGGGTGCACAATTTTAAGGTCATTTATCCATTCTTATAATTATATAATGAATAAAAAAAATATACGGGATATATATAGTACGTGACCTGTAATAGGCCAAAATGTGAACACGGGTGATGCACATGGTGCACAATTTTAAGGTCATTTATTAGTACAGAGCCCGTGCGATGCACGGGGTGCACAATTTTCTAGTATGTGTAATAAAAATACATACCGTATGCACGGAACAGAAGCACTAAATGAGTCATTTCCACATAGCTTGCCCGTTAAGTAGCTCCTGAACACGGGTGCACAATTTGTAGTACGTACCATAAAATCAGAACAGATTTCCATACAATTAGATAATAAATTAGATAATAAATAAAGCCTTTTTATTTTAGTAAAGATTTTACGTACTTTTTTTTTTACTTATCAGATGTTATGAGATTTTTTTTGTTAAGCCGATTTTATGGAATATAATACAAATACAATTAGAGGATAACAAAATCAGAACAGATTTTCATACAATTAGATAATAAAAAGGAATTAGATAATGAAAAGAATGAATTAGATAAGAAAAAGAAGGAATTAGATAAAGACTTTTGAATCTGATTTTTTTTTTTTTTTTGGATAGATAGACTCTACGTTCAAATTTTGACTTCACTGATTTTATGGGATTATTTTGACAAAATTGATGTTAATATGGAATAAGACAAATAAATAAAGTCTTTTTATTTTAGTAAAGATTTTACGTCTTTTTTTTTACTTGTCAGATGTTATGGGATTTTTTTTTTAAACAGATTTTATGGGATATAAGACAAATAAATAAAATAATTAAATAAAATTCTGGATAGAAATAGCAATGCATTAATTACGTTGCTTTTTCAATCTACTAAATTTGGTAAATAGGATACCTTATATAATAAGTATAGATACAAATAAATAACATGCCAAAATTTTAAAGAATAATTAATGTATTTTAATTTATTATCTAGCCATCAATAATATCATTTAATGATGTGATCATTATCTCTTAAATGATAAATAAAATATTAATTTAAAAAATATTTGTTTATACTCAAATAAAAATTAAAAAATACTATTGACAAATATGAATTATAATATATATCAGCAAAATCATTGCAGAAGTTAATAAAATTATTTAAGGAAAAAAAATCTTTTTGATCATATTTGAATAGGAAATGTATATATGCAAACAATTAATGCATATAGTAAAAAATTTCTAAATAAAGTATGCATTAAATGTGAGTTGATTTTTTTTGCTACTATTTTTGGTAAATAGTATGACTTTTAATATAAGTATAGATTTGAAGTGTCATGCCATCTAACTAAAATAATTAAATCAAAAAGAGCCTATAAGAAATATATTTATAGTAATCAACTAATTAAAAATAACTAAATCAAAAAGAGCCTATAACAAATATATTTATAGTAATCAATATTTAGTTCTACTCGTTCCATAATTAATTGATCTAACGTCATGTAGATGGCGTGTAATTAATTATGGTATTAGACAATTTGTCTTAAATAAATTGTAAGATTAAAAAAATATGGTATTTAAACCTAAACAATATGATATGTAGTTATGGAATTTAGACATAATCAAAACATAATTAGTACTGTAGATACAGAATATAGTTATAGTATGTCTGAATCTATTACTTTAGAAATGTAATTAAATTAATTTTATCCGAACCAAAAGCCGAAGTATGAAATGTTGCTAAATAAGATTTCGAAGCGTGCGAGCCAGCCATGTAGGCTCAGCACGTTTTTGAAATTATATAAAAGGGGATTTGCCGACTCTGAATTGATTAAACACTCTACAAGACTGTGCGAATGGATCGCCTTTTGTTCTTCTCTTTTATGTCCCGAGACCCTCTCTGTTGTCGGGTGGGCAACAATTTTTCTTGGAATTTCCCCTTCAACTCACGTGATTTGATGTTGGGAAAGAAAGAAGAAGACTTTGTGCTTGAGAAACACTAATTTTTTTTCTCTTCTGTAGATCCCCTCGTTTTTTCTCTGTTGCTCGTGATTTTGGCTTAGTTTATAAGGATCTTTAATAGTGGGAAAACATAGGGGACTTGGTGTATTTAAAGGATACACTCTACAACAAGGACCTACAGAATGTGTCAAATAAAGATTTTCCATAGGATTTGATAACTTTAGTTCTGATCCACTAACACCCAATCCATATTAATAATATTTTATTCCACTAAAATATTAATACTGGTTTTTCTATTCAACATCAAATTGCATATAATATGACTCCAGAATTTATCTATTCCAATTATTTCTCATGCTTAAAATATGACATTCATTAATTAATTTAATTTATTCATGATTTATTTAAACAACTTCTTGATCCATAAATTAGCACCACTCAACTTTATCATTATACTAGAAACTAATCCACCTGCATAGTTTGACATGATAAACGTTTTGTATTCATTTCAATGACATCATTAACGTGACGCACTAGGACATAGTGCCCATAAATAACAACAACTTATCATATAAACAACATAACTACCCAATTACACAGTCTATGGAATCAATAAATGAATCTCACATTTTAGTTAATCAAAGTAATAATCGTCGAATATATGCCTCGTTCATTATCCAAAAATTCTATGGTGCCCATTAGGGCACCATAAGTCATGCCACATTCTGATGTGGCATATGAGGTGGCATAAGGTACTTATTTCTATCAATTTTGATGTGACATAAATTAAATTGTAAAACAAATCAATAAAAAATTAAATTGTGAAAGAATAAATAAAAAATCTTGAACAGAATCTTACGTCTCATAAAATCGACTATTTTCACGATCAACGCCTACTCCAGAAAATCGACTGCTTCATGATCAACGCTTACTCCACGGATGACGGACAACTTGGGCCAAGAAATAACTGGTTTCTGCGGCTTTCGTTTGAGCTTCAGGATCCGCGCCTATTCCGTAGACGACATACGATAGTCTCCACCCAGTCCACTTGTCGAGGATTTATTCCGCCAAGACCAACTACCAGAGAAATGTATTGTCATGGCTTTCTCTTAAAAGGGCTGATTAAATGATCAAAGATGCCCATATATCAGTATTAAAATATGCCGGTTTGATGTCCTATTATCATCATA